CCCATACCCCCCACCCCGCAGGCCCCTGGGGGCCCCCAGTGCTGGAGTTAGGGCTTTAGGGACTCCTAGCCTCCCCGACGTTTTCAGTGTGCGTCCTAAGTGCCTCCTTTCTCTGGGAAGCCCTGTGGCTGCGTCCCTAAACACACCTTGTCACAGAGGGCGGCCACGCAGCCCCCAGTCAAACGCTGGCATCTTTGGGACGTTCCTAAAATGGCAAGTTCTAACCAAAGCGGGATGAGACTGCTCAGTGCTCCGCGGCCGCGGGTCTCCCCTGCACTCCCCCAGCAGTCCCGTGGGCTAATGTCCCATTTCTGAAGAGATGGGCCCTTCACACCTAATGAAATGCACAGCCTGATAAGCGCAATACACTGCAAAAGCCTCATAAAAACAATGGCACTTTCTCTCCACTTAGGAGCAATTCTGAGCAGGTCGTGATGGCTGGAGGCACTTCCGGTCCACCGGTCCGGAGCGGGGCTCTGGGTTACCCGCAGCACTTTCATACTCCAAGAAAAGATTTCAAGTTTCGGATACTGAATAATTTGTGGTCAGGACTTGAAAAGCTATTCTCATTCCTCCTGCCCCTGAAATGCAGCCCAGGAAGAGAAGAACGAGAAGCAAAGCAGATGATGATGGGAGGAGTGGCTGTTTAGCCAGGTTCCTGCAAGTCTGCTTCAGTGTGATTTGTGGGCTACGTTTCATTTTTTCCAGCCAGAAGGATGGAAGTTCTATCTGGATGGTACTGAGCTACAAGCTGTGTGACATACAAAAGCGTAAGAGCTCCCCACACAAATGCATTCTCTCTATACAGGCAATCAGATTTATGGGGGCCATTTGTTAAACTAAACACTGGATTTTTAAAAAATGACCATTTTGCTAAATAGTGGCCAACATATTGGAGGGATCCTTTAAAGGAACCAATAGGATTTAAACAGCTGTCACTTTTATTCCATTCCTCACTTGAAATGTTGGGTTTGCTTATGGTGGTACTGGTTTGAATGCAGGCTTTGGCAAGTGTTCTACCATTTGGGCCAAACCTCCATCCCTTCTTGCCTTTAGGTTTAAAGTCTTGTGCTTTTTGACCAGGCTGATCAAAAATTTTGTCCCCACTTTTTCAGTAGCTGGGATTATAGTGTGACAACCACATTCAGCTTGTTTGTTGAGATGGAGTCTCACTAACTTTTTGCCCAGACTGGTATTAAGCCTTGGGCCTCCCAATCTCTACCTCTCTCAAGTGGCTAAAATTACAAGCATGTGCTACTGCACACACAGTCCCTTACTTAAAATATTTTAACCTGATAACTATTGCTTCTTCCTACAATGATTCCTTTGACTAGTCAGATCATTTCCCAGGATAACTGCTCTTGAGCATGAATTCAAGGACATAAAGACTCTTAGCTGGAAGGCTTCTTCCTAGACTTTGAACCTCTTTAGAAAGACAAGCTCTATGATAGCTGCCTCTTCAGTTTTTTTTCCTTTAGCCACAACTAAATCAATTTTGAGGGAGCGGAAAATAACACTTCTCTGAGATAAAAATACTCCAAACAAAGCATCTTCTTTTGTTTACAGTAAGTCTCAAGAAGGAAAGCACTAAGGAAGATGAGGTACACCTGACCTCCGGGGAAGATGCAGGTCTACACAGAGATGTGGGAAGCCAAGTATAGTTGGCTCCCTAATGCATTCTCTCTTTGGTGTCTCATTATTCCTTCTCACTCAAATACAGCTCAAATCCAAAATGCAGTGTCATGTTACAGATGATGGCCGATTACACCTTAATACTTGTGGCCAGGCCACTTAGAGGGAGGAAGCAGGAAAGCAAGACTGTATCAAGAATGGCTACAAGAAAGTCAGTCTATTCTTTCTACCTGGACTTTCAAGCCAGAGATCCTGTCCTCCTTTTCCAATATCCTATCTCCTTACAAATCTTTGCCAGTCCTCCAACTGGAACCGATCCTTAAAGTCCTCCTTCACCACTGCACTCTGCATTATAGGACTCTCCACAAGGTAAGACACACCTGTGTCTCCTAACTTCCCTCACATCCCTACCCTTTAGACAGAGTCGGCAGAGGAGGAGAGACTCGGCAGAAGCTGGTGGAGGATGAGTAAAACAGTAACGACGGGCCTGCGCAGGACGGCAGTGAGAGGGCAGGGCGGCAGTGAGAGGGCAGGGCGGTGCTAGAAAGCGGCACAGCTACAGTTCTCACAGCAGAGGGAAGCAGAGCAGGCGGGTGGTGCCCACTGAGGGGTTTTCTTGGTTTTTCCTTCATGGAGGTACTATGGCTTGAACTCAGGGCCTTATGCTTGCTAGGGTGCCCTTGTAACTTTGACCTCTCAATCTCCACCTCCTGAGTAGTTGGCATTATAGACATGAACCACCATGCTTGGCCTCAGTTACCCTAGCTATTCTCTGTGATCAGATTAATATACTGTAGGCCAAAAAAAAAAACAAAAAACTTTACTCAATCCCACCCTCCTTATATTTGATTTTAGAGAATAGTCCATTTTCTAATATTCTGATATGCAATACTGATATTTCTACACAGTTCTATTGGCATATCTATTAGTTTTGTTTCTGTCTGTCACCAAACTGCTCGTCCACACTCAGGTTTAGTGCCTCTCCCCAGCTCCAGGTCAAGCAGGCAGAGCACAATGGAGCGGGAAGTGGGGGTAGAGATGCACTTGAACTTGCTGACTGGTGCACAGTGCTACTTCTAATTCATTTGAAAATGATTCCAGGAAAATTCTCAATCCTGAGCTGTCTGAAGGCCCAAGAAGGTGACCAGTGACCACATCAGCTAGATGGTGATGACTCAGCTCTGAGAGGTCTAGGAAGCATTGTTGAGAAGAGGCAGTGGGTGAAGCTGAGGAGAGATCAAAGTAAAAACCTGAAGCTGCTTCGGGGCAGAGCTGGCAGAGACCTTCCGAAGCACTGGGATTAGATTAGATTGGATTAGGCCCAGACATACTGGGGAGGAGTTTAGCTACTTTTCAGACTTCTCTGGTAGAGTCCTCTAGCATAACTACCATTTGCCAGGAAACTCAGATTTTGTTTTAACCAATGAACTGAGCTAGTGAAAAATACCTGACACTTTAAAGTCTAGTTCCCTTCTTTAGTATTTTAAAAGTGAAATACACATAAGCTTTTCCTCAAGTTTACTTACAGAAAGCCTGGCAGTCACTCTACAATGCTGACGCAGTTGAGGTGAACACGTAAAAATGATAGAGGAATAAGCATACTCATAAAGGTTGTACCAGAATATTGGTACAACTAAAATTAGCACTAATCAAAGGAAAGAAACTCAACTATAACTAGCAAAAGGTCTCAGGCCTCTTAAACAAGTATTAGCTTACAAACTATACTTAAAAGATAGATACTGGTGTTTTGTTTGTTGTTGTTAAAAAACAAAAAAAAAGAAGTATGGCTCCTGAGAAGCTCTGAGCAGCCAAGGGCGCGGGGCATTGAGCCTCCAGTCACAGTGGTTTCCATACAAGCCTTCACAGCAGCTGAGACGTGGGAGAGACACGAATTCTTAAGGAGATTATTCCCCAGACTGGCCAAAATATCAGAGTAATTTCAGCCACTAAAGATCAGCCACTGATGGCCAGGATCTCATATGCATTGTTATCTTCCACATAAACTTTATTCAGCAGTACTTTAAAATATACCTTGGCACCACAGTAACAGCTATCTTTAGGACAAATGTGTAAATCAAGAAAAATTCAATGATGTGTGCCTGTGGGTTCATTAGGATATTTAATAGTGAAACATTAGTCCAACTAGTCCCACTGCCAGGAGATTGACTTGGATTATAATATGTAATGGAGTACCTTGTAGTCATTAAATATGATTAAGATTTACATACTCTGATAGGCAAAGATGTCTCTGCAATTGTTCATCAAGAAAATATTCCAGAGTAGCATGTACTGAACAGAGCATAGCTAACATAGGAAATCACTGCTATTAACAACACTGGTACCTAAGGATCCAGACTCCAAACCAGCCTGAGCAGACAAGTCCATGAGACTTATCTCCAGTTAACTCACAAAAAGCCACAACTGGACATGTGGCTCAAGTGGTAGAGCACTAGCCTTGTAGGGAGAAGCGAAGCAAGAGCGTGAGGCCCTGAGTTCAAGCCATGGATAAATAAAAGATGAAGAAGAAAAAAAAGATAGGTCCCAAGGCTGGGTTTGGTGGTCCATGCCTGTAATCCCAGCAACATGGGAAGCAAGGTAGGAGGTTTGCTGTAGGACACCAGCCCTGGCAAAGTCAGTTCAAGACCCTATCTGAAAACACACACACAGAAAAACTGAAAGTAAAAGGAATGAGGGTGTGGCTTAACTGGTAGAGCACTATGTAGCAAGTAAGACGCCTATAGTATGATTCCCAGAACGGCAAAAAGAAGTTCAAAAACTCCACTTATTAAATTCCCTAGATAATTTAAAGTAAATAGAAATAACTAAGAACATTTTCATTTGTGGTTTTTATCGTGATTGAGGTTTCAGCTATTAGGAGTGCAACAGCTATAAATTATACTCATAATTATACTCAGCTATAAGTTCATACTCATACTGTATCAACCATCAGTAACGTCTTTTATACAAGCCACAGGGGAAGGTGCAGCAGTGACTCTACCAGTCCTCTGAG